CAAACTCAAGTCTCCATTCGCTAATGTGAGCTCTGTTCAAGGGACCTTTGGTTCCAGGTCTAAGAGGGAGAGGTGAGAAAAATTAAAAACCAAAATGAGCCAGAATTGTTGCCTCGTTACTTTGTACTTATCAACCAGATGAACTCTGCTCCCAGTGGGCAGGTTTGTCCTTTAATTTGCAAGAAAAAGCAGCTTTCTTGGTAAGCCGCAGGGGCGGGTGAGCAGGAAGAGAAAGGTGACAGTCACCACTCAGAGTGTTGTCTGAAGGGCGGCCCTGGTCCTTGTTCTGCCAGGACCTGGACAGGCCCCAGCCAAAGTTAAGCCAAAAATGGACATTTCTGCTTTCTGTTGGAAAAGGACAGGTGAATAAACTTTGCAATCAAACTAGGACTGCTTTTAGAAACAGGATCTCTGCCAAATGGAGTGGCCAGGGGAGTCACTTAGCCCTGTTCAAAGCCAAGGTAAGGCCCTGGAGAGTCCGGCCTGAGACGGGCTTCTGAGTTTCTGCAGTACTGGATCAAAGCCCTGTGGGTGGAAGCAGTGAGTGTGGCCTTTCCTTAACTCACTCTCTTCATGTTCCTGGGCAGCCTGGTGTTCTGCCAGAGCCCGGTGGCCCTGGCTAGCATGGCGGGGGTCGGCAGTGCCTGGCTAGTCCAGGAGACATTGTATTTCACTGTGTTGATGTTGTGACAATCACTGATAAGAGGTCCTTCATATTCTAGTTCTTTCCTAGAACTCATGAAGGGAAAGCACCTGAATTAATAAGGTATGGGGTCAGTGCAGAGCACTCTCCCGGGTCTGGCATTTCCAAGGGCAAGGGGCATTCCGATGGAAATGTCTCAATCCTCGAAAATTGCTTCTTAGGAGGAGCACACGGTGATGTGGCTTCTTCAGGTCACAGTTTTCGCTCTGCAGGGGGCTTAGAGTATCTTACAAGAAATGGAAATGCTTTTCCTGTTTAAAACCCAAGTGCCAAGAAGCCTTCTCCCAGCCTTCTGTCACTGAATCCTCTTGGGAGGGATTTCAAAGCCTCTTCTGTAAGAAGCACAAATCCCCAGGCTTTGGGAAGATGCTGGGACCTGGTGCGAGCTGAATCTGGAACAAGTAGGCCCTTGAAAGGAGTTACCTCTCATTTTCTGCTGACATAAATAAGATGGAAACTTTGAGAGAATAGGTAGTACTAGAGATGAAGTCTCCCAGCTGCTCCCTTTGCTGGGTGGCCTGGTGCCAAGGGGACTGGCAGGTGCAGCCCGAGCCTCCCACTTCCCACGACGGAGCACAGGATGGAGGCTGGATGCTGAGAGAATGCTTCAAGAAATCCATGGGGAAGTGAATTAAAAGATACTCTCAGTCTGGCACAAAATTGTCTGAAATTCACCCACCGGAGGATCTTCAACAGTTGATAGAAAATGCACAATATGAAAGAACTACATCGACTTCAAAAAATGTTTGCATCTAAACAAATTTGTCTTTAATTTTTTCTCATGAGTTTCTGAGATATCCATATACTCAGGCATAGCTAATATTTCATCTGTGGTCATGTATAAATGGCCAACCATGTGACCACAGAAGGAAGGGTGACCAGCCATCATTTGCAGTGTTTCCTGTTACTGACAAGAACTAATCACAGTCTTTAAAACATTCTCTCATTCTCACCTTTTCTGAACACTGAGCGATTTGGATACCACCAAGCTCATTCATTATATTTCTAGGAGGTTCATGTGTAAAACCACAGAATGCAGCTGCAGCTTTTATCTTTCAGTCAGTTACACATAATCATTAAATGAAGAGATTAAAAGTAGTCGCAGCAAATACAGACCTTGGAGAAAGCAGATGGGGCATTTTAGTTTCTCTGGAGCTGGCTCTATCAGGAGACTGTAGGAAAAGTTTGAAGGATACAGAAAGGCAAGACCGGGGCTTGCACAGTGCTATAACAGGCCAATCCACCTGCAGGCTGGCATTCCAAATGGGTGCCGGGAATTGTCCGAGCTGCTCTACTTCCCAATCCAGCACCCTGTTAATGGCCTGGGAACGAAGCAGAAGATGACCCAAATCCTTGGGCCCCTGTACCCTCATGAGAGCGAAGAAGAAGCTCCAGGCTCCCAACTTTGGACTGGTCCAGCTCTCGCCATTGTGGCTATTTAGGGAGTGACCCAGTGGATGGGAGATCTTTCCCTCTCTCTCTCTAATTCTAACCTTCAAAATAAAATATATCTTTTTTTTTAAAAAAAGGTAAGTCCAAGTTTCTTCTTATACTCCCCCAAACAAGCATCTTCCAAGATTCTTTTTATTTTTTATTCCTTCAACAAACCAAAACATTTTGTCCAAAATTAAGAGAAATGCTGCATTTCCTTTGAGAGAGAAAAACCAAACTTTCAGGGTCTGATAGTTCCTGTCAGTGTGTCCCACAGGATACAGTCCCTGGGGCTTTGCTACTTGGTCCTTCTGCTGGCGGTCACAGCAGGGGCCAGAGTGGAGTTCCACCCCCCACTGGCTCACAGCCTGCTTTGCAAGCTGAGCTCTCGCACCCAGTTCATCTATCGATGGTATTGGGGGTAGGCTCTTTGGAGGTGATCGGTGAGTGGGACGGGGGTGATTTAGGGATTCACGGGTTTTCCAGGTAGTGGCTCTGCATGGCTGCTGTGCTCTCCCACCCAGTGATGCCCTCTGCCATGCTGGAGTCCACAGGACAGCCTCATGTGAAGCTCAGCAGATAAGGCTGCCCTGTGCTTGAACTTGAAGCTTCTAGAAACGTGAGTCAAATAAATGTCTATTCTCAGCAAATCACCCAATGTTGGGTATTCTGACACAGACCTGAAAACAGACCAGGAAACAAAACAAAGTGAAAACCGCTCAATGCAGCTTTCAGTCATGCTCCTGCCATCTGCTTATCTACTGGCAAATAAGCCTTCACTCCCACGACGTGGTAACACACTGGGGGAACTGAAACTGGAGAGGTGATGCGTTTGCTTCCCAAATGAAAGGAAATGCCTTTAAGGAGTTAAGAGGAATGAATAGCTGTAGACCATTATTTGTCACTGAAAGTTTAGAAGGCTGGTCTTAGCCGGAACACCAAGTCTGAACAACATCTCAAAATGGAGAGCAAAGACACGTGGAGATGGGAAGAGAGAGACGGGAAACCCTAAAGTGGAAAAGTAGTAATTAAACAGATAACAACTGGAAACTTCCTTAGATAGCCACAGAGCAGACTCCCGGCTGGAGAGGCGCTGAGAGCATGGAACCCGGATGTCCAGGGAAAGTTTCCCAATTGCAAAGACACACGGAAAGCCTTACAAGCACCCCCAAAAGCCGCCTGCATGCCAAAGCAACCAAACAAAAATGCTGTTACTTTCAAATGACCCAAAATACCAAGTGATATCGGCATCAGATTTGTCATCTTTAACCCACAGTCGTATAAGACAGAGCAGTAACAGCTGTAGGTGAGCCAATGAAAAAAAGGGAAAGTCCCGAGAAAGGAGAAATGGATTCTGAGGAAAAGCATCACGCTGACCACCTACAACCAATGACTGAACTGCAGCAGTGAACTTCAGATTTGGGGGAGAAATAGAGGAGAGATTTGGGGTGTTCACTGGAAGAGGGAGAAAGTAAAAGGAGAGGGGAGAGGCAGGGCTGGGGGAGGAGAAAGACAGGGTCTCGCATGATGATGATGATGGAGAAAAGCAGATTTCACTACAAGCAATAAGACTAGAGCAGCAATGATTTATGGAACTAAAGATGAGCTGGGATTTGAACATGAAATCATGTAAGTAAATGTGATGCTTCTGTAAGCTCTAAGGTTCAGTCTTTTACAAACTCTGTCATCTGTCATTTTCTGACCTATGATGCCGCCGAATTGCTGCCGAGGACGTGACAGAATGGACACACAGTCACGTGCCACTTGACAACAGGGGTCAATTCTGAGGAATGCGCTGCAGGGCGCTCCTGCCAGGCAGCCACAGGGACGACCCAGCTCTGACGCCACCAGGCCACAGGATGTTGTGGATTGCTGTTGCATCTGTAGTTCGGCTTTTACTCAAGTGTCATTATGTGGTGCCTAGCCATCAACGCAACCCCACAGCAGAAATACAAACATGTGCTTGTGTCTGCTTGTGCTACAACACATCTTATGCCCTGAGTCATTTTCAGCATTAGCCAATGGAGATGTAAACTTCTATAAAACTGTTAACTAAGTTTGATTCGTATATATGCATGTGATTCCCAGTGGATATTTTACTTTGGAATCTAAGAAAGGCATTGTCCCATCTACTTTGCAAATGATAAAGAAATAGGCCAAGCAGAACACAAATGAGGCTCACTCCTAGCGGTCACTTCTGCCACATGCTCAGAGCCCCATAAACGGAGTTCATGGACAGCTTCGAGAGTAAGCTGCTGGAGTTGTTGTCCCTGATACAACAGTTATGTAAAGCCTGGTCCCTTGCAGGCGGATGGGCTTCAGGGGGATGCACTCTGGGAGGTTCTCAGAGGATCCAAAGTGACATGGTTGCCCTGTGACATGGCCCAATAGCTGACTTGCAGCAAATCAAGGCTGCAAATCATAAATATAAAAATTGTACTTTGGGACTGACAATGTGGTACAGTAGGTTCAGCTGCCGCTTGTGAAATTGGCATCATGCTGTACTGGAGTGCAGGCTTTACTCTTGGCTGCTGCAGGGATAATCCAGCTGTCTGCTGGTGTGCCGGAAAGGCAGGGGAATGGGCCCATGCCACCCACACGGAAGGCCTGGATGAAACGAACCTGGCTGTGTAGTCTCCCGGGGAATGAAGCACTGTGTGGCAGAGGCCTCTCTCTCCACTGACCCCTCTGCCTTCCAAGAAACAAACAAATCTCCAAAACAAATGAAAAATGTCAGGCTCAGGATTTTTTTTACTATGGATTCTCTTCCTTATTCTTTTAAGACCACGGAGCCCAGGACCGCTGAACAGTCACCTGGTCTTGGCTGTGAGACACACACGTGTGCCAAGTCGGCTCATGTGCTTACTTTCTGATCGATGTATTTGTTGTCCTCGATGGCTGCACGCTTGGGGTGATCGCACGAGGAAGAGGAGGTCGAAGGCAGAATTCGAAAGAGACAGCAGCCATCCTGTTGCTGGCGATCAATGAACTGCTTCATGAAGCTCTCCCTGAGCAAATGGAATGCATGGTCACACACACACACACACACACACACCATCAGTAACAGTGAGCACGGGAAGTCAGCGTGCAATAACACCTGACACCTTTGCCTGAGCTACTACAGAGCAGACAAGGGACCACAGAGAACGAGACAGCGCACACCGTGAGGGGTGTGCAATTCGAGTTAGCAAATCACTGAGGGGGGCTGCCCGGCTCCACAGTGACCCCCGTTCACTACAACAACTGAACCCCAACAGCCCTCAGAGAACTTCCCAGCAGCACTGTACAGTTTTCCATTTAGCTCTGGTAAAAAGATGCATTTTCTCCCCGTGAGAGCTGGAAGGATCAGTGCGTCTCCAGATGTCCATTCCCCATAAAGACCCCTGAGAGACCACTTTCTGTGTAAAGGTTTCCCCTCCCTATAAAAATCCACCCATTTGATCCCTAAAACAAAGTGGCCTTGCAAATGATCAGACTGAACTATTTGGCTTTTTTTTCAATCAGAAAAGCAAGCCTATGCTCAACTGAATTTCAAACATTACAACAACAGATTTCATCTCCTACATTGGGGCTTCCAGAATTATTCTTAATTTAAAAAATTGTAATATTCTATTTATAACATGTTATGCTACAAATAGAACTCTTTTTAATTATGAAAAAAGGTGCTCTATAGCTTCTCCCACGCATTTGCACAGCTGCAGGGAAAAACTAGCGGAAAATTCAACCACGGCTCCTCGGGGAACGCGGAAGGCTCACTCCTGCTCTGCTCAGGGGAGATGTGGCTGCTGGTGAGTCTGTGTTGGCTCAACAGTCCTTTCATCCTCCTCTGGCCTCAACATCCCAAACCTCCCGGGATGTCAGGGCCCCAGGGACCCCACCCCAGACGGAGACCGCCCAGGGAGCTGACTTCTCTCTGCAAAAGGCCTCTGCTCGGACGTATTGCTCCAATGGGGTCCGTGGTGCAAGCACGGAGAAGGAGAGTAGCTGTACAAGCAGTGATTGAGCAACGGAAACACCCCACGTGAGTCCTAAAGGGGGCTGACTCACACCCACATGATAATTTTACAGTGCAGCTATGCAAGTCGAGGCGACCCCAATACCTGATCTTAGGAACTGTGAAGTCCGAAGGAAGCTTCGAGATTTTCACCATCTGTGGTCTGTTGGGAAACTTTTCAAAGATCCGTAGGCGCAGAGGAAGCTTTTCTTTTGTATCTGCATTTGCTTCACTTTGCTTCAGCTAAAGAAGAAAAACAAAATGAGGCAGGAATGAAAAAGTGGAACTTGCAGTATCAGACAATTTTTGGAATATTCCTTTTAGAATTGAACTATAATTCCATAAGGAATCAGTAGAGGGCAGCAAAGGACCAGCAAACACTTCTGACTACACAGCACTTGGTGTAAGAAAACTTTTTTGAGTTATGGGGGCAAAATGCAAAACTAAAACTTGACTCATCAACCACCAAGTACACAATCAGAAATCTTTAATTCCCAAACAGAAACTTCTATTCATTTCATGTTTCATTTGCATAGCTAAGCTTCTATCACTCTTCAACACAAAAAATGCTTTACACATATTGTGCTAGAACCAGAAATCAAAAGAATCAAAGATAAAAATATAAGCTGCAGAATCATGCCAAGGGGGAAATTTTAGCAAGAGCAACAACTACCAAGAAAATCAATCATGTGATCTTAATGAAAAGCTCAAAATAAAAACAACATTCAGCCCACACAGCAATCTCTTTGATGGCTAAGGAGTCTTGGCATGATCAAGTTTAAATGCCATATGACATCTGGGAGAGGTGGCCAAATGAGTGAACTCATGGATTTACTCATTACCGCGTAATTCTGTGTCTACGGAATGGCCTTCAGGGAAGCCAAGATTCATATGAGAAATCCAGGGCCATTTGGCAGAATTCCTTTCCTTTATTGCTTCCTCTGCGGGTTCCCTTGCAGGAGTAGATGGGGCTCACCAGCCCCCTGATCCCAGATCTCTCGCAGGTTCCACAGAGCCTCCCCGCTCCTGCTCTGCTCCATTTTCCCAGGCCGAACTCCATCAGCACTGACTCCCTTCCTTTCACAAGAACATTCAAGGCCACCGGCCTCTTTTGGGGGTGTTAAGGAAGCAGTCTCAAAGGCCTTGGCTCAGGGCCCACTTTCTGGGTAGGCTTGTACTGCCGCATCATTACAACTGGTTCTGACGTGGTGGAAAAGAGAGCACCGAGATAGGTGAATGAGAGAGCACCACTTTGATAACAGGAAGGAAAGCAGGAAGCCCTCCCTGCCATGCAGAAGGAGAATGTGACTGCAGAGTTGGGGGACACCCCAATTTCAATGCCATGGATGGACCCACTGTACAGCTGGGTCTGGGGCTCAATTTCTGGTTTTCCCATTCCATGGCAGAAACTGTTCTAACACTTCTGTGTTGTACGACAAACACTGCACGACAGCCATCTGCTTGCTTCATGAGGTGGGTGGTCTCTGGGTTTCTATCTTAGATAAGAATCTTGTTTAGGGGAGGAGGCACTGCTCTCCTGGGTCTTCCTGTCTTCCAAGAGGGTATCCCATGGCTAGAGTCCTCCATGCCCAAGTGATGTGGGCAGTGAGGAGGGTGGCTTCACACGTAAGAAGAGGCTTGGGACGAGGTCAGTGGTACGCAACACAGGCAGGAAGGCAGTTCACTCAAGGTGGAGTAGAGAAAGTAAGGCACTTCATTGCATCAGACCAAAAACAGCCGGAGAAGACACAGCGGAAATAATTAACAAGTAATTAACTGCCTTGGTCCTGCCATTTGCTTACACATTAACATTGTCATCATAATTCAAATCCCATAGGCTATGTGCCATGCTCAGTTCTGGGATGAACAGACAGATAAGTCTCTGCTCTGTGACCGGGGGATGGCTCTAGAAACTGCCAATGACAGTAAAAGAGAAGGCTTACTCCAGCAGACACAGGTATGGGACGTTTGGGAGTGCAGAGGAAGGAGCAGAGAGAACAAAGATACCACATCTTTCCCAGCAGACTTTTCAAGCCGTACAATGGCTCTGCATGAGTATGACCAATAATAGGAGCGCTCTCAATGCACAAGGTCTGGTACACAGATGTTATGAGAATTCCATGTCTGTGTATGCCAGACACGAGGGTTAAAGGTACTGGCATGAGCTGGGACATGTCAGTGAAGCGAAAGCATGGAGCCCCTTCCTGAATCCTGGCATCCCCCATGGTGCCTCCACAGGCCAGGAGGCCACCCAGCTTTCTGCACCTGCTAGCTCTTCCCTGCCTGTTTGAGCTGCTTCTAATCTGTCTTCTATCATATGGTCAGTACGTGGCATTAAAACCCGTCTTCAGCCTGGGACCCAAGGCCTGGTTTTCATCCCTCCCTGTAAGTGATGCTTCAGCTTGCCAGAGCTCCACTAGGATCCAGTCACATTTTTCACTGAGGCCTCAAAGTTTCTGGACCCTCTCTCTCAGGGCCTTTGTACCTAGTGTGGCCTCCGCTGGAGGCTCATCTCTCTCCATGAAGTTCACCAACTTTTACTCTCCAGATGGCAGTTCTAATTCCTCAGAGAAAGTCTCTCTAAGATTGTTCAGACATGACAGGTTGAACTGAGTCCTACCCCTGCTTGTGAGGGTCATAGCAGTTCGTGGTGGTTCCTCACAGACTAACCTAACACATATGTATTGGATTCCTGTGACAGCTGCACTAGACTGGCAGCTCAGAACAATGTTAATGGGTTCTTCTGGCCTCCTGGAGGTGTCAGTCCAAAGCCAAGGTGTCTGCCGGGCCCTGCTTCCTATCAAGGCTGAGGGAGGGATCTGCCCAAGCCTCTTCCTGGCTCGGGGCGTCCTTGGCTTGGAGCCGACTCACTCCCAGGTCCTCTTCCCAGCGTTGTGTCTTTGGGTCTGGATTGCCTCTGCTTTTTCTTACGTGGGCCTGGATCACTGGATTTCAACCTCATCCCAATTCCTTCTGTAAAGACCTTGCGTCCAATGGCCTCCCAGTGAGCTTCTGGATCATGAACTTGAAGCATACCACTAACTCTCCTGCACACATTGTCATTGGAAATGACACCATGTGGCCTCTAGGACTAACAGCCCTATTTCCTCAGACCAGAAGCTCTGAGCATGAAGACTAGATGGGGTTTTATTCATTATCCATCCCCTGTGCCTGACATTACACTGTACTCAACAGAAAGTCAGCTATGAAAATGCTCACTGCATCACTGAATGGATCAGGTGGCAGACCTAAATTCCCTAGCAGACAACTATAAAACAAAAGACTTGAAGTATATCCTAAAGGATAGACAGATAAGCATATAAAGTTTTCACTTTTTCCTGGCACAAATGTACAGATGTGGACTATAGTAAACCAAACCATAATCTATGAGATTGTAACCTGAACTGATGTTTGCTGTTGATGAATTGAGGGCTGTTCAGAGTAAGTTCAGATGTATAAAATTTTGTAAAGAGACACTGGGGATATGGTAGGTTATATTAAATCAATTATTCTAGAAAATAACATCAGTATATATATGCATACCATCATTTAAAGAAATACCTTACTTACATGTGTTTATAATTTTTATATTTTTAATTTATTTAATTGGCACACAGAACAAAGAAGTTTCCAACTACTGATTTACTCACCAAATACATTTTCCCTTTTCTCTAGAAGATTTATTTATTTTGTTTGAAAGACCAAGAGATAGACAAGGGAACAAGGAAACTTCCATCTGCTGGTTCACTCCCAGCTGGTTGCAAAGGCTAGAGTTGGGCTCAGCCACAACCAGGAGCTCGGAACCCTCCGGGTCTCCCATGCTGATGGCAGGAGCACAAGCATTTGGGTCCCCTCCTAGTCTTCCACTGCTTTCCTAGTCTCATTAGCAGAGGGCTGGACCAGAAATGAAGCAGCTGTGTCACAGGTACTGGCTTTATTGCACTGTGCCACACAGCTGGTCCCTGGCTACTACTAGGCCTCTTGCTGAATCACAGTTCCCAAGTTCTCTTCGCTATTCCCAGATAAGCAGCAGCTACACACACACTCAAAGGCCCTGCAAATCCCCCTGCAGTACATACCTCTTAAATATGGGTGACACCTACACCACAGCCAAACTCTCACATGCCCAGGGCAGCGCCATGAGCTAGAGGACCAACCACTACCATGTACCCATCGGTAGTGGTTGACTTAACCATTCAAAGGAGCAAACTACAACTCAGCATAGAATGCAGGTGAATTTCCCAACATGATGCTGAGTGGAGGGAGCTAGACAAGACACAGGAGTATCTTACAACACACTGGTGGGATCCACTGGTATTAAGCAAAACATACTTGCAGCACTGGTCTATGTGCATGCGTCAGCAAAGTGGCCGGCCTAGAGTGGGTGGGAAGGTGACAAGAGGCAGTGGCTAGGGCATAGTCTGTCTTGGCCTGGGTGCTAGATGTGCCAGTTTGTCAGACTTCAGTGAAAGCCAGGCCAGAAGAGGGCGTTAACGTGGGGCAGATGGTGTAGCCGAGGAAACTCATTGAATTCTTACTCCACCACCATTGATCACCGTCACCTTGATCACATCTCCCTGCCCAGCCCACAATCCGAGCCACGGCAACAAACGGACAAAAAAAGAAAGGGGAACGTGAGAGGGTGTGTGGACTTCTACTGGAAAGGGCAGGACAGGCAGAGGAAATCAACATTAATACAAGCACTTCATGGACTTTGAAGCCACTATGAAGTTCCTTTAAAATTTAATAAGACTACATCTGACCTTTCATCCAAAATGCAGAGGACGCCCCCTCAACCCCCAAGATAAAATTTACTTTAATGCAAATGAGCGACTCATTTGGATCACAAGAAATGGATATGGGTTTAGAACATCACTTCCCTCTCCACAAAGGAGACCTTCTAACTAGAGTAGTTATAATTGTAAATGTCCATTTAAAACATATTTCAAAGATCAAGGTTCTTGAAGGCAGCAAATCTTGAAGGCAGGAAGATTTTATTCTTCAACTTGAAAAACCTACTCTATAGAATCTTCTTTAATGGAGCATGAAGTGTGAATTTAAGTGATAGATCAGATGACAGCTTTCCAATGGATTCCCAGGCTGGGAAATGACAAAGAAAAATGCCTGCACATTTGCAAAAAGGAATTTAGAATCAAAGAAACACATTTCAAACCTGGGACTGTATAGGAATCCTCTGGGCCCAGTGCCATTCTCAGTCTCTATGTCTGCCCGGCTGAGATATC